TGGCACCTGGTAGTTTATTTCATCTTTAAAAGTTAAAAATAACTGAATCTAAAAATCTTTTAAAACCTTAAGTCTCAGTTTCTTCATCTGTAAAATGGAATCATACCTACTTCTTAGATCTGTGATTTTAAATTAGATAATGCATATAAAGCTGACATACTATTCAGCTTCTGGCTCATGCCACTAGGTAAAGGTAGTAGATGCTATCATTATGACTTCTATAGTTGTTACATACAATGTGATAACTGTGCAGCTATAACAGAAACCAAAAAGACACCTGGTAAATTCAAGGATTTTAAACCATGTATCTATAAAAAGGTTAAGAAAAAAATAGCTTATATGTGATATTAGATGTATTTGAAGGATGATGAAAGAAAAGCACTAATTTAATAAATGGCATTTCAAGGTGTACTGCCAGCATTGTGAGATGGAAAATTCTAGATGTCTTGAAGCCTGCAATCACGCCTCCTGAGCATCTCCTTGTGAATATTTATTTTGTGACTCTTTAGGACAACATATCATTTCGGTTAACACATTGAATATAGCTGCTACAGTTCTATGAAAATCAGTTTTTATCACTTTCTTTTTATACATCAATTCAAAAGTTTAACTCGATTCCTGTCTGACGTTTACTGTACTTACAATACTTTTTTTTTCTCAGCCAGAGTTGGTTTGATTTCATAATGGCAATAATTAGAAAAAGCTGATTTACTTAATAAGATATTTTTATATGATAAATCCTGCAAGAATCAATCTATTTTTTATATAAATTGTGATAATGATAATATAAAAAAAGGAAATGATTTCTTTCTGTTATAAGACTGCTTTTTAGAAACAAAAGACATACTGGTGGCTTGGAGTACACCTTTTTGCACAGTTTATTTTGCTTTGCTTTTATGGTCTTCTCGTGGTAAAATTTTTTCATTTATTTGATAATGTATCATGTACATCTATATGATAAAGCATATAATTTTACTGAGTGTTAATGGTAAAAGCAAATAGATACTTGGGCAATTTCAGATAAAAATAAGTTTAAAAATTTTGCTTATTTTGGAGTTACATAAAAATAGCCTTAATTTGTGATTTATATTTCAAAATTACTCTTCTGTTATTAAAATTTTGGAATAACTGGTTATGATCAAAATGTGAAATACTATTTCTAGAACAAATAGAAAGGGCAAAAGCTCCAATACATTTGCTTTCTTTCATCTTAATTCTTCTATCCATCTTTCTAAGTGCTCAGAAGGAATGCACTGGTCAGGGGAATTGTAGGTCTGTTGGCCTACTATTTTCCAACCTACAAATGGAGTTTTGAATTATTTCTATGCTGCATTTCCTTTATGGCATGGCTATGTCTCACTGAAACATCAGAAGGAAGTAGATTCTTTCATTCAATGGCTGACTTGGAAAGATAGTGTGTCTATTTTCATCATCTCACAACATCTATATATATAAAAGCCTAATTGCTAGTTGTCCCTCCGACCATTTGACCATTCGACCAGTCACTATGACATGCACTGACCACTAGGGGGCAGATACTCTGACCCATGGGTTAGTTTGCTGCTGGGGTCCGGCTGATTGGGACTGGGCGAGATGGGCCAGACATGCCCTGGAGCCCACCCGTGGTCCTTCCCCACCCCAATTGTGCACCAGTGGGGTCTCTTGGCCTGGCCTGTGCCCTCTCACAATCTGGGACCCATTGGGGGATGTTGGGAGAGCCGGTTTCAGCCTTATCCCTGCAGGCCAGCCCCCCCCCCCATGCACGATTCTATGCACCAGGGCTCTAGTAGGTCATAAAATGAAATAATGACATTCTATCAGACTTGTCAAAATTAAGTACATTAGTATAGTGTGAAGAGGGACTTGGTGACTTACCTTAAAAGAGATTTCATACTGTTCTCCTCCCCAGATTTCTAAACCTGGATCATAGCCACCTAACTCCCAAAACCATTTGCGATTCACAGCAAAGAGACCTCCAGCCATCACAGGAGACCTGTGGAATGAACAAAATAATCTTTAACGGACAATGAATATCAGGGACAATGGTGTTTTGCTTGGAAAAAAAAGAAGCAAAATCAAGACATTCCCAGTTGTCAATGGCATGGAACTTTTTAGCACTAGTTTTCTGTAAGTGGATTTAAGGTTCTCACATGGTCTGTAAATGCCCTTGGAATTCTCATGAGCGTTAAACTCTGCAGGTCAGGTCCTAATGCCACGATTGTCCTGGGGAGCCACACTTCCTCCATATGTTTATCATTAGGGGGAAATACATGACGATTAATGACTGTTATATTGAGAAATATCACTCAATTTTATGTTTTTTCCTCAAAGTGAAAGAGATCTTATCCTATCAGACAGACAAAAGCATAGAAATTGCTGCTGTAGACAAACATGTTTCATTAAATCTCTTAGTACAAACTCACCAAGCATCTGCCAATTACAGGTCATGTCCATTTTGCAGACTATCAGATAGACAGTTGGACTATAATAACCCATCAGAATTAGTTAATTAACATGCCAAAGATGGAATTAAACTAGGTCTTTTCAGTTTAATTAATTTAGATTTTCTCTGCTTTTCTAACAAATATTCCTTTTGGTCAAATAATTTTTCAGCATTCTACTCCTGCTAGGATGCACTGTACACACGTTGCTATATAATGGGATAATTTACACTCATTGGGCCCTGCCCTAAAATATTTTGTAGTTCAAAGGTAGCTCTGGCATTTTGAAATCTCACTATGAGCTGGGCTCTTGGCTAAGAGCTTTATCCCATTCCCTTGATTGATCCTCAGAGCAAGCATATAAATATCATCCCTATGTCCTGTTTGAAGAAAGAGGCAGAGAGAGGTTAAAAGCAGTGCCCAAGGCTGAATCTAGTGTATGGCGGCCCCGAGACCAAGGTCCTCTGATTTCAAAACCTTTGAGCTCTTTATCAGACAGTTTTCTTTCAGTGTTTGGGGGTGAAGACAGACAGCTACATAAATGTAGATATCAGATAATTAGAGAATACCCTATGCAGACGAACATTGTCAGCACAGTTTTGGTGACAGTTTTGAAAAAGTTTTTGAAGCAAAGGATCTTTATCAATAAGAGTAAAAGACATTAAATGTTGAAGATACACATTTTAAAATATGTGTACATATTAGACACACTAAGTTACAGATCCACCGAAGACTTGCTTTTGGTAATATTTAAGGTAGCGCTTGAATTTAAGTGCATTATATATGTCAATGACTTTGCATGTTGAGATGGTACATAGCCTACATCAGTTACGAATCTTTTTTTAATGTCTAGTAGACTGTATGAAGATGAAAAGATTACATGGCAGGAAGAGGGATTTATTTTTCTCCTGAGAAGTGAGCAGGATTAAAAAAATAACATAAAGAATCTCATGCAGTTTTTCTATTTTGTTTGAAATAAAAATCCTAACCCAGCCTGTGTGGCTCAGTGGTTGGGCATTGACCTATGAACCAGGAGGTCACTGTTCGATTCCTGGTCATGGCATATGCGTAGGTTGTGAGCTCCATCCCCGGTGCTGGGTGTGCAGGAAGCAGCCAATCAATGATTCTTTCTCATCATTGATGTTTCTATCTCTCTACCCCTCTCCTTTCCTTTCTGAAGTCAATAAAAATATATTTATAAAAAAATTCTAGACTCAAATGTTCCCTATCTCCAGCAGCCTAATCTTTTTCTGTTTTCCATGCACTGAATTTCCGAGGTGAATTACAACTGTAGCTGGAACAAATTGGGACTGTAACATGTATTGGGTGCAGCTCCCAATGGACCCATTACTACAGTCTAACCTTTGCTTTGTAGGGTTTGGATGTAAGTGATCAGGCATTGTCAATCTGCCCCCCTTGGGAACATCCTCCCCCCCCCTCAGTGCACAGATTTCGTGCACTGGGCCCTCTAGTGAGTTTATAAAAAACAAACCATGTATCATATTTTAGCTTAATTGTAGAGAAAATAAAATACATTCAAATGGATCTTTTTTACCAGGCCTAACCGAAATAAATTAGTGTTTCAT